GTGTAGGGGAGGTTCTGAAGCTCCTCTGCACCTCTATCAGATCATGCCCATATTTCGTTGCGGGGTAGGTGACCGGGAGACCATATTCTAGATTCGGACGAACATGCGAAGCGAATAGGGTTCGAGAAATCTCCGGTGCGATTCCGCAGAACGACCTTCGCAAAGCCTAAGGCATTTGGTTGGCCGCCGCGATCTTCTGCGTGTCAAGGGATGACTTGAGATCATGCGAGATGATTACTGCCAGGTCCTTCTCAAGTGTGACAGACTTGAGATATCCTACGATACGGTACGCACCAAACAGATCCAGGCCACCAATCGAGAGATCGGCACATTTGTTACGGTTTACAGGGAGTCGCCACTCAACGGACCAGTTGTGCAGCTGGTCAAGCGAAGCTTGGAGCCTGTCGGCATCCTCGGATCAAGATATTTCAGACCAAAGTTTGTCACCAGCGTAGACTAGATAGTCGATTTGTGATGGCGCTGGAAGATCGTTAATGTACAATTTAAACAGCTCTGGTAAAGGATGGAGCCTTGGGGAACCCCACTGGTCATAGATATTGGGACGAGTATTGGGACGGAGTGTTTGGTTCACTTTCACGTGAATGGCTCTTGCTTCCAGGAAGTTTAAAATCCAGGATAAGAGGTTTCCGGGGACATCAACCCCCTGAAGTTTGAGCAGAAGCCGTTTGTGCGGCATTTTGTCAAAGGTCTTACTGGAGTCAATGAAGCTGACATCAAGATGTCTCCTTTCATCTGTTGAATTGGCCCATGCTTCTCTGGCAACAGGCAAGTTAGTGATGGAGGATGGTGCCCTGCGGTACACGCAATGTGAGGGGAGATTACGCGTAAGTCTTTTCAGTGAACGATGAGGGCGCGTGATTATTTTTTCCATGATTGTGCAGACAATTGACGTCAGATATATCGGACGGTAGTTCGCAGGGTCTTGCCAGTTACCTCCATTGTAATTAGGCAGTACACTTCCTACTTTCCCGGCGCGAAGTAAGCGATCCTCCGCAAGTAACAGCCGGAAAACTTGGCATATTGGATCGGCGATGTACTCGGCCGATAGCTTGTGGTATAGTGGGTGTAGTCGGTCAGGGCCTGGTGCGGATTTAAGGTTCAAGTTTCGGATTAGTCGCACAAGCATCTCGACGCTAATTTCAATTTGCTCCAGAGTCGGGGAGCACGTAGACACATCGTTGTTGGGCAAAGATGGCTCAAAGGAGTATACTATTGAGTACTGTGAGGCCAGTGGGTTGATTTTCTTGTCATCGGGGTGGAGTACAACGCCTTCTCCAGGAGCAGATATAGAAGGAATATCAACACCCGTTCTGGTGTTTTGTCTTAGGTATGAGAAGTTTCTTCGGACACGTTTGGGAGTTAACAGCCAGCTATTGTTCGTTCTGAGTCCGCTGCTGCCGCTTTTTCAGAGTGCACAGGTTTCGAACCTCTTTGTAATTGAGGTAATCTAAGGTTAGTTGTGTACTTTTGAATACGATCAACAACTAATGCCGTCAGTTCAATAAGGACCTCAGCTCCCGGTAGATCTGGAAGGGGACTTTGTGGAACGGTCTATCTTCGGGTATCGGGAGAGCTTTTTCGATGATCGACGTCCTCTTGGACAGCAGTAGGTCCCAAACTACATAGATACTCAGGGATTGTGAAATACTCCAGTCTTCGTGCTTGCCACAGCGTGTAGTCTGGATGGATCTATACACCAGAAGTTACGACGATATGCTCAGTGGTCATTGATGGTAAGACGTCGTGTACACAAGAATAATGCTTGGTCGTTTCAACCAAGTGGTTGGAGGGCCCCCAAGTCACAAACGTCAGAGGGCACGGGAGTGAACACCAGGTCAATGGCGTTTGATATCTGGCTCGAAAGTATCCGTTTTGGTGTAGAGATGTGTTGAAGTAGATTGTATTTTTGAATAGCATCGATGAGTCCAATCTCAAGGGAATCTCATGGAAGATTACAGTAAATAAGGTTCTAATTGACAATGGGTGCATTGAAACCACCCAGTAGCAGTTTCTACCACTGGCGTTAATTTTGAATGAGTGCAGAAGACGAGAACCTGAGTCCGAGGGAGCTCTGTAGACAATACCAATCGTGTGTGTTTGATAGCCATGATGGATCCGGCACCGGAACGATGTCCATCTGGCGTGCCTGTTTCACTTTTGCTTTTGTATTGCGCCGCCATAGCTGTGTGTATAATGAATGAATGATCCGACGCCAAAGGATTTCCGAGGCAACGTTATGGTTGGAGAACGCCACAGTGACGTGAACTTCGAAACAATCTTTCGAGTAAAGAATCACTCCCCTCCGATCCTTCCATTATAGGATTAGCTCGGGAGAGCTGATACCCTGATGTGCCAATTTCCGTGTCTAAGATTTTAGAGAACAGCCAAGTCCCTGTGAACGATAATAGATGGTGTACAGAGATGAGAAGTGGAATCTCGTCAAGCTTGTTCCTGAGGCTGCGCACATTGGCAAGCATTACTCGCAAACCTATGTTTGCGCCAACTGGCTGGGTACCAGATAGATAGGCCGCTGACGTGCTCTGGGGGGCCACTTTACTATGGAAAAAACAGATAGGTCAGTTGCACCATTTACGTGTGTTTAGTGCATTGATAGCTTGTTTCATTTTAACTTGATCTTACGAGTAGAGGTCTTTCAGGACAAAGTTCCACACTTGAGGCGCAAAGTACCCTCGATGATGCGGCGGCATTCCTCTTCGTCTTGACAGACCGTAAGGGGACGTAACCCCGAAGGACCAACCTGCCTTATACCCCGGCGGAAAGCTGAGACGAGGTTGATTCCTTGCTTACCTTCGAACAAAATGGATATCATTCGTTTCAGAAAATGCCTGGTTGTCAAGGATCCCCTCAGCTGGGGCCAGTTTGTCAGATACGCGAGCATTTATAATAATAAAACACTGTTCCCTGGAAGGTCTGTTTTCTCGTGGTTTTGACGCAACTGGTTTTTTCGGTTATCAATTACTGAAGTTGTGTGACTTTAGATAAAACACGTGTCAGTTGCGTTGGCGCAGAGTTGCATTTCGCTTTGTCTTTAGTGGCTGCCTTCCTGGTTTTTCGGATCGAGGCATGGATCCTGCCAGCGGCTTTTTCAAATCCAGTGCGCAACGTTGCCGCGTAGACCTTTGTCTCGGTCACAACATCAACTACTACCTCCTGGCCATGGCGCTCTGCATCGTGCAAAAGCGTCCTCGCTGAGAAAGCGGAGGAAGATCGAATACGATTCTGTGTGGGGGTACAAGGAGACGTAAATGGCGATAGTGAGGGAGTTGGCTGTGCAGTGCTTGTCTCAGTCCTTTGCGTCGACATCAGACAGGCCAGAAGGGACTTGTCATTTATAACAATTCGGCAATGATCACAGTGGGACATAATGCCGCAGGATGCCGTCCGTTTTAAACATACACACAGGTCGGGTTCCATATGCCAACAAGTTTTGTGGAACCAGCCTTAACACTAAACACATTGCACGGGTGGCACTTTTACCGAAGCTCGGATATTTAAACGCCACTGTTTCGTAGAAGCCTGACAACCCCCAATTGTTTGTGACAATAATACAAAAGGCAAAACCAACAAAACGAGAGAATGAGAGGAGCAAGTGACTACTATCCGCTGTTGGAGAAACATTGGAAGCGTAGCGATTGTCGTCAAATCTCCTTGACTTAAAGATTTTTAAGTTGTGAACTCGTGCCAAACCTACTGTATTGAGCAGGTAAGACTAACAGGCATATTCGTCAGGTTACAAGATAACACAAACATATGCAAATGTACATGGTTGGCAGCACCCGGCTTAGAATTTGCATGTCACTGTGGCCAGCCGCAGGACGCCTGCGCCTACAGAGGAACCATGAGTGGCTTGCGCTGCATCACCCACAGCTTCAACCACACACCCCATATCCAGTGTAAGCCAGAAGGAATAAGACCAGGAGGCATGTGGATGGGAGCTACGTTTCATCAACGTAGTCGGCCCGCACTCCACAGGCAAACAAACACGCTGTAGTTGGGAACCAATCGCACACAAGGCGGTGGTTGGACAGTAGTCCGCTACACACTGGGTGAATGGAACCACTTCGAGTCTAGCACGACCACAAGGACCGTGCACCCCGTCCCCTCCAGCAAAGACCAACTGTTTCCTAGAGCTAGTATGGACGAGGTAGTGGGTAATAGGCAGGCAGGCACCTTGTCAACATGCGCATCAAGCGCAGCCATACCGGGGATGTCAAACAACAGCCAATCATTTGAAATGACATTATCAAATAAAATATATCTTAAAGAATAGCGCTATGCAGACATAACTATTCCCTAAATTAGCAAGTGAAGTAAGTTAGTTAGCAATCAATCCGCGATAAGTACGAAATGTCCAGAAGTTACACCAAAAAATGCGACAAACGCAATAAAGTTAAGGAAGATAACCACGATTAGCGTAAGCAACGTAGCCAGTTAACAGAAAATTAGTCAAATAGGCAGAACAAACCTGATGAATTGGAAAGAAATTTATCCAGCTTAAAAAAACTAGTTTAGGTTGGTTTCGCCCGATGGCGGTGAAGAAGCAGCATGTATGTAACATCAGCCTCAGCATATGGTTGGCGGCATCCGGTTTCGGATTTGCATGTCACTGTGGCCAGCCACAGGACTCCTGCGCCTACAGAGGGACCATGGGCGGCTTGCGCCGCACCACCCACAGCTCTAACCACACACCCCATTAGCAGTGTAAACCCGAAGGAATAAGACCGGGAGGCATGTGGATGGGAGCCAGGTTTCATCAACGGGAGCCGGCCCACACTCCTTCACAGGCAAACACAAGCACGCTGTGTTTGGGAATCAAGCGCACACAACGCGGTGGTTGGACCGTAGTCCGCTCCACACTGAGTGCATGGAACCACACTCTGATCCTAACACGGCCACAAGGACCGTGCCTCAGCATATACATATGTACACATATATGATCTAAGACAAGCTCTACTTACGTGCAGACATCTGGCATGTGGCTCTTGTAGACGGCAGAATACTAGCTTCGTCACAATTGATTGTCATGGACATTGCAAGCGCTGCCTGTGAAGCTATCGGTGATGACCCATTGGAGACGGCATTAGGTGAAAGTTTCCTTGGCGGTTTACAGTCATTCTCATCAGAAATGTATATTGGTGACCTATGATTATGCTGTCAAGCAGATTTTATGCTAACTCACATGAGTCGCGGGGGTATTCCTAGGTCAACTTCGAAGTCCGCGTATTCGGGAGCACGTACAAACATGTCATGGTGCACGCCTGTGGCATGAGAGGAATCGGAGCAGAACAAAATACCTGCATCCGTTGCATGGGATAAATCAGCTTGTTTGGTAGCATGTGCAAAGTTTCCCTGCTGAGATTGATGCCGTCTCTTACGACGCATGTTGGCTAGTTAATAATCGGTAATGTCCCTCGACGCCGTCCTAGATGAGAAACAAGAAGTCAGGAATAGAAACACTAAAAGTGACGAAGTAGTGCAATAAGGACGGTCACAGCAGAACTCACAGTGTAAGTAAACGGGTGCTGATTATGTTCTCAGGTACATCAATATATCTTAATGCGAACAAAGTAAAAACGATAAGTTAACAACATACGCGAGCACATAATTTATACATAACGCAATCTAGATCTTTAGTGTGACAAGTTACCAAATAGGCTAGAGGTACGGCTACTATTCAAGTTCAGGTTTAAATTCAAGTGAGACTGGAACTAGTTCAAGTTCAGATGGCACCGAAATGATAGGAGAATCCCGCGATTGTTCCAGCTTGATTGAATTGATGAAGTGCTCAGTTATTCATGGATCTAAATCAGGAACACCCTTATCCCACCCTGGCTAAACAGTTTATGCCAACGTTTCCTGCCCTAGCAGTCCCTGTTGTGGGAGTCACGTGAAGTAAGCAAAGGATAGTAAGAGAAATCGTGAGTGTTTATGCTTCAGCAAGTTGCTGAAACCAGAGTTGACCGACATTAAAATACTGATATATCTAAAGCAAAGATCACATCACACAAAGTCCAAGCAATTAATGCCTATGTATCCTGTCTTAGCAGTCCTTGCTGGACCGGTTATGTGAAGTACTAAAGAAAATTGAACTCAAAAGACTGAAAGTGAAAGTGGAAAAAGCTAAACAAATAGAATATCAAGGTATTTGAAGTGAAGTGTTGAGTCAGCTTAGAAAGAGTAAAGGTTTGGTCAGCCACCCAAGAGCATCGAGTTGGCACGCAAAACTTTTAAGCTAAGGTTCCCTAACCACGATCTGGAAACGAATTCCAGCAATCTATATCTCGGTGCGACAACGAGTTTCCGTCTTAATCCTCTAAGACCTTGGTTTATGCAGTTTCAGTGGGGGCCGCCGAGAGTAGGTAACATAGCGGGTCTAAGGTACCTTGACAAGTCCGGGCCCATCTTACCCGTCAAAATACCACAATTGAGAATCAGGCCCTTACTTGTCCCTCGGTAGTGCGTTGAGTGCAACCTAAACTAAGCAAGAATGCAGGATACTTCTGTCCCCGTAGAACCTGCACTAACCGAGTGCCCACTCGCAACGTCCTCCCCAGGTTCATTTTGTCTAGGATAAATCATGGTGGACAAGCCCGTAAACAATTTTCCAGGGGGCGTTGGACGAATGCCAAGAATGGCTTCACAAACCGACTGACCGTAGGATACCGAAAGAGAGGCTGCTAAATCACCTCGTACGAAACCCTCGACAAGCAGTCTTCCACCAATTGTCACAAGAAGGAAGTTCTGATGATTGTGCGACCCTAAATAAACCTGCCGAGCAACCTGCCGCAAACAAGTGTTTGATACTGGGGATTTCAATCTACCAGACGTTTGCTGTTCAGATCTTTCTTGCAACTCGGCAGAAGGTACTTTCGGGGCAGATCTACTTGAACTTACGCTACAAGTACCGTTGCATCAGTTCGTGGACCTCCCCAATAGGTACATTGACGCCCAACTCCCGTCTATTTTGGATCTACTAATTGCCAAGTCACTAGACTTCGCAGAGGACATCACTTACAGCTCTCGTTTAGGTGCTAGTGATCATGTTTGCTTATCGTTCAAGTGTACTCTGGCCAGGCGTCACCAGAGCATTGCTAAGCCATCTCCAAACATATGGCGTGATAACTATCAGGCGATGCGTTTCAAGGCTGCCGGGATGCGTTGCGAAATCTCGGTGGTTGATACGGTTCAGGCGGCCTGAGATAAATTTAAGTCTTATCTCACGTAAGTGTCTACTCCTTACATCCCGCTTGCGAGGAGCAAGGAGACACGAGCGCGGCAGCCGTGGATAGATACCACTGGCAAGTACCTGCTTCAAAAGCGTTCTAGGTGCTGGAGGACCTACCGTGCGGCTCCATCAACTAGCACCTATGATAGATACCGCGAGGCTAGAAATAGGTGTAAACAATACTTAAGGAATGATTGGCTGGTGTACGAAAAGGAATTGGCTGATGGAGCTTCGGAAAATCCGAAGACGTTCTTCGCTTATGTTAAGAGACGCTGTGGTTCAACTTCGGTAATCCCAGCTTTGATACGGGCCGATGAAACTCATACGTACGCGGACTCAGATAAGGCTCGTGTACTTGGGGAGCAGTCTGCAGGGCCTTTTGTAGGTGAGGCCGCGTTGACTAGCGTTGAACTTGTCCTCAGATTAACTGAGGGTTCTTATTTAGCTGAGTTTACTGTGGTGGAAACGCAAGTACTTAACCTGCTGCAAGAACTGAACCCTTACAAAGCAGCTGGACCTGATTCAATTCACCCGAAGCTTCTGCATGAGTTGACAGTGGAACTAAGTGGACCGCTGACGATGGTGTTTCAGAAGTCACTTGACAGCTGTACATTACCTTCCGAATGGAAGGAGGCTGTCATCTGTCCTATCTTCAAAAATGGCGACAGGTGTCTGTCAGCCAATTATAGGCCAGTTAGTCTGACTAGCGTCTTGGTCAAATTGCTTGAAAAGCTGGTGAGAGTTTCGTTGGAATATCACCTGAATAGATTTAATCTACTAAGTACTGCACAACGTGGATTCCGGAAGGGGTTTTCGTGTTTGACGAATTGGTTGGTTGCTCGTGAATCTTGGGCCGAGGCAATGAACAATAGCCACCTAGTGGATGTGCTTTTCGTCGACTTCTCGAAAGCATTTGATAAGGTACTCCACTTAAGGCTACCAAAAAAGCTGAGGTCCTACGGCGTATCTGGCCGCGCCCTTCACTGGTTATCTGCATCCTTGCTGGGAAGAGAGCATTGTGTACGTGTGGGTCGCAGCTTATCCTTTAGGCAAGCGGTCCCTAGCGGTGTCCCACAGAGCTCGGTCCTTGGGCCGATGGTGTTTTCCATCTACGTAAACGATCTCCCTGGAGAGCTTGGGGTAGCATCACTAGTTTCGCTGATGACCTTAAGCTATGGAGCGTTGTAAATGTTCCTGGGGGTTCTGAGGCCATACAGCATGCACTAGACAGACACTGGGACTGGGCTACTTTGTGGCTGCTGCCCATAAATCAGGCTAAGTGTTCCGTCCTTCGTACAGGAGCAACTTTCTCGCCTTCGAGCTACGTACTCGGTGGGGTCGAACTCCCCCTTGTCTCCAACCAGATAGATCTAGGTGTCGTTCATTCCTCGTCTTTGCATTATAGTGACAACTGGAAAAAGACCGCTAGTAGTGTCTTCAGAGTGTTGCGGTTAATACGCCGTTCTTTCGGGATCTTAACTGCCGACATATTTGTGAAGCTGTTCTCAGATTTCGTCCGGCCCGATCTGGAATACTGCGTCCAGGTTTGCCCGCACTGCCTTGTACGGGACAAAATGGAGCTCGAGCGGGTTTTGAGATTAGGTTACGGGGGCAATCGTACCCCGAGCGTCTACTTAGCTTGGGTATGTATTCAATGCACTACCGACGGCTTCGAGGAGACCTAATGCTTACTTACCGCATTTTAACAGGGAAGGTTGGACCGGATTTAAGCTGGCTGTTTAGCCCGACTATTTTGCCTTGTCTTCGCGGTCATCCCATGAAGCAACACAAGCCGCGTTCTGACCGGATCAGGGCGGAAATACGGTTATCGAGTAGAGTTATCGAGGGCTGGAACTCGCTTCCAGAAATTGTAGTCACTGAACCTACGGTTAATGGTTTTGAGCGTCAGTTAGAAGCTCTTGGGTGGCAACACGAAACCTTCCCCTTCTCGTGACCATATACATCTTCCAAATTTTAGTTCTTATTCTGTCATTCTCTTCACTCTTTGGTGTTATCCTTCATTTTAATGACTTTCATTCCCTTTTATCTTCCTTTCACTTTCTACTTCTTTCTTACTTCACGTGACCTACACAGCGGGGACTGCTAGTGCAGGGAACGTGGGCAGTAATTGGTTGATCAGGGCGTGTTTCGTGTGTTTCGTTTTAGATCTATCAAGAACTAGCACCTTATCATTTCCTGGCTCAACGATTTGCTCAAGAAGGAACACTCAAGGGCTTTTCCTATCGTTCCAGTCCATCTGAATCTGAATCTGAAACACAGAGTCTACGACCGCCCACAACTTATCGAGTGGGAGGATTAGCAGCTCCGATTCGGAGGACAGAGCAGATGGCTCAATTTATGGGATCAACCATAACCTATACAAGACACACTGAATTATTTCCGGACTCCCGGGATATCCATAATCTTACAGAGCTTCATGTCGCCTGCAAACCTTAGTCATAATACTCCTAGCTCTCCTGGCAAGTTATTTACATAGATCGCGGATATCAATGGCCCCAATAAAGAGCCCAAGGGACGCCAATAAGTACAGCTTTCCTGAGTGAAAGACTAAGCCCCGCCAGTACGCACTGTTCTATCCTCTCTAGGAAGGCAGACACATATTGATGGACGTGACCAGATTTACCGTAACATCTCAACTAGTGAGTCGCGGATGAAGAAATTGGTCAAAATCTTTTGAGAAGTCCGTGAATAGCACATCTACAGCGTGGCCATTGTCTACCGCTTCGGCCCAACATTCAGGAGCTGCAAGCAGCTTAAGCAGACATGAAAATCAGTTGCGGAATCCATGTTGGGAAACAGTGTGACGGTTGAATCTATTCAGGTGGTTCTCCACCGTATCCCCTAGCAGCTTTCCAAGCAACTTGACTACTACGGTTGTCAAAAGGACAGGCCGGTATTTCGCGGGCAGAACGTTGTCACCGCCCTTAAAAATCGGACAGATGATGGCCCCCTTCCATTCCGAAGTTTGGACGCAGCTGTCCAGCTCAATTAAAAACAAACACGTGAGCCGGCCACTCAACTCAATGGCCAATTCAAATGGATTGAACCAGAACTGGAAGTTGTGGAAGGATTAATGCCCTGCAGTATCTCCGAGCCTTGAATCTGTTGTGTTCAACTATGCTAAACAAGTATCTTC